TTATCTTTTACAAAAATTTTAACGAAAAACGAAAAATAAAACTATCATATGATTCAGCAATTTCACTTCTGGGTATTTATCTCATGGAAATGAAATTACTGTCTTGAGTAGACAGATGCACCCCTATGCTTACTGCAGCATTATTTATAATAGCCAGGACACAGAAAAAGACACAATGTAAGTGTCCATTTTTGGATAAATGGATAAAGAAAATGAGGTGTATATCAGCATACAATGGAGTATTAGCCATTAAACAAAGAAGGAAATCCTGCTGATTCCAGCAACACAGATGGACCTTGCAGGTATTATATACTGAAATAAGTTCAGACAAAGAAAGACAAATACTGTATGATCTCACTTATATGTGGAATCTTAAAACAAAACACAAAACCAAGCTCATAGATCCAGATAAAAGATTGGTGGTTGTCAGAAGTGGGGTGGGAGGGGGTAAGAGAGGGTGAAGGTGGTCAAAAGGTGCAAGCCAATTATAAGATAAGTAGTAAGTCACCGGCATGCAATGTTCAGCATGGTGACTGTAATTAATAATACTGTATTTTTTTTTTTTTCAACGTTTATTTATTTTTGGGACAGAGAGAGACAGAGCATGAACGGGGGAGGGGCAGAGAGAGAGGGAGACACAGAATCGGAAACAGGCTCCAGGCTCTGAGCCATCAGCCCAGAGCCTGACGCGGGGCTCGAACTCACGGACCGCGAGATCGTGACCTGGCTGAAGTCGGACGCTCAACTGACTGCGCCACCCAGGCGCCCCGATAATACTGTATTTTATGTTTAAAAGTTGCTAAGAGAATAGAGCTTGAAAGCACTCATCACAAGAAAAAAATCTGCAACTATGTGTGATGGTTGTTAATTTATTGTGGTCATCATTTTGCAATATATACAGATATTGAATCATTAAGTTATATACTAAAACTAACATAATGTTCTACCTCAATTATTGCAATTAAAATTCTCAATAAAAGGGGTGCCTGGCTGGTTCAGTCAGTGGAACATGTGACTCTTGATCTTGGAGTTGTGAGTTCAAGCCCCATACTGGGCACAGAGATTACTTAAAAAAAAAAAATTAAAGTTAAGAAAAAAAGTTTTGAAAATCTCAATAAAGTAAAGGCAAGAAAGAAAGAGAGAGAAAGAGAGAGAGAGAGGGAGGAAGGAAGAAAACCTCATGTCCATTAAGCAGTTACTCCCAATTTTCCCTTTCCCCCAGGTCTTGGCAGCTACCAATCTACTATTTCTATAGATTTACCTATTCTGGGTATTTCATGTAAGTGAAGTGATACAATATGTGACCTTTTGTGACTGGCTTCTTTCACTCAGCATGATGTTTTAAAGGTTCACCCACACTATGTAACAGTATCTGTATTTCATTCCTTTTTATGGTTCAATAATATCCCATTGTGTGCATATATCATAATTCAGTGAACTCCTTATTTGTATATAAAGCATTTGTGGTAATTTTTGACCTTCAGTACTTGCTGAACTCCCTACCATAAATTAACACACTTTTAAGAATCCTCACTCAGAAGTCAGTTGTCACCTATTCAACAAAATGGAAAATTTTAATATTGCACTAAGTCACTATAACAACTCTCTTTGTATAACCTGTTAGTAGTCTATGAAATATTGCTAACAACAGCCTTGTGAATTAAATAATATTATCCTTATTTTGTAGGTGAGAAATCGGAGACAAAGAGCTGAAGTAGCAGGCTAGTGTCACAGTGGGTAAACGGCAAGATCCTGACTAGACCCCTTCTCTTTCCATCCACCCCACATCAGAGTTCAACCAGCTATTCACACTAACCCAGTCACAACTCACTACAATGACTATAAGATATTACTACAAATTAAATTTTGAAGAGAGGTTCTCACATTCAGGACAAGAAAAGGCTCAAGTTACAAACTGGTTTAGCTCTAAATACATGTTTATAACTTAGTCTCTGTAATTCATAAAGCATTTTCCCAAATAAAAACCTATACAAATGGTTAAATAATTTCCTGGAGGGATACCACAAATGAGGTTAAGAGATGGGGGTTTACTGGGAAGAATCAAGAAACCAGAAATAAAAATAAGCTACAAAAAGTATACTCATTTCTCTCCTATTTGCTCTTTTTTGGATTCCGTTCAGTTTCAGATAGCTAGCGCCTAAGTACAAACACAAGGCTACCTGCCCCAGTCGGCAGCAAACAACTTCTTCCTTGGTTTCCTCATTTTGTTGTTTTTATAATGTTTTTATTTATTTTTGAGTGAGAGAGAGAGACAGAGCATGAGCCTGGGACGGGCAGAGAGAGAAGAAGACACAGAATATGAAGCAGGGTCCAGGTTCCAAGCTGTCAGCACAGAGCCTGATGCAGGGTTCAAACCATGGACCATGAAATCATAACCTGAGCTGAAGTCAGACATTTAACCAAAACTGGGCCACCCAGGAGCTCCTCAGATACCTCGTTCTTAAAAAAACAAGAAATACCAAATGAGCAGTTCAAAGTAGCTCTTTGCTGGATATTCTTCCCCACACCACAGGAATAACTCAATCTGGAGGATCTTGGGGCAGTGAAACATGGACCTTGCATAGGCAGCTTCCTGCCAGTAACTATAAAGCTAAAGAGGTAAAACCTGTCCTTGCAGCTGACAGATCATATAGGGGTGAGAGCCACAGCTGGTAACCAAGAACTCTAGCATCTGCCTAGCGTTTCCTCTATGTAACATGTATTATACCAAAACCCTGGATAGGTAATGAATGGTAGGTGGCTCTTCAGGGACCCGCAACCCACAACCTGGCCACCCAGTGGCACAATTAATGAGTCCCAGTATCTCATTTTAATTCATAACAAAAGCACTTATTACACAGTAACATGAAAATTCTTGTTTAATAAAAAATTCCTAATTTGAAAGAAAATGTATTTGAGAGCTATTTGAAAAGCAAATGTATTATGACATTTGAAAGATTACTGAAATAAACTTGCATAGCATGGCAGCAAGAAAGTTTGTGATATAATGAAAATAAGTGGGATTGGAAGTCAAGAGGCCGAGCATAAAACCTAGCACTTAGATGTATAATAAATGACAAGTGAATGATCTAGTACCAAAGGACTATGGGCAAGTTATTTCTTCTCTCCCTATTTCTAAAATTAGATTGTAATAAGGCTTAAATGAGTTATTACATTTGTGTTTAGAGCAGTTCTTGGCACAGAACTATTTATTGACTAAATAGTAGACACTATTACTAGATACTAATAGATACTATCACTAGTTCCACCACGAGACAGAGGTGTAATCTCAGACAAGTTACTAACCATTCTAGAATTCTATAAAATGACAGTGCTAATAATAGATGCTCTATAGCTCCCCTTCAGCTCTAAAAGAATATTTACATTCCGATTCTCAAACATGTTACATTAAGGAGTATCTTCCCACAGGCACATTAAAACTTTAAGTACTACTGTATTTCCCAGACAATAGTATATTACAGAATATATACCAAACATACAGTGGGGGAATGGGGCTTGGACATGTGGATATGACTGGACGTACAGACTATCACTTAAGGTAGAGACTGTACCTTAAACACATATCACAAAAAGAAATATACTCAGAATAAGTAAAACAGTTCTGGATGAAGATTGAGGAGATTGTGTTCTACTCCTGACACTGCTACCAAACTTAAAATAGTAAATTACTCCTATCTATGTTTGTTTGCTTATCTGTAAGGTGAGAAAGGTTGCAATACATGATCACTAAGATCTCTTTGGGACTTTTTTCACTTTTTTCCTTCTTTCCAAACTAGCATAATGTCAATTATTACTTAGAAAACTGGGAACTTTAGCACCCATAAATATGAAAAGTTGGCTGATCTCCTGGCCTAAGCAAGCAGTCCCTGATCTGAGAGTGGGTGCAAATGGCAATGGCCTTTTATTATTTTTTTTTAATGTTTATTTATTTATTTTTTATTTATTGAGAGAGAGAGAGAGAGAGAGAGACAGACAGACAGACACAGAGAGTGAGCAGGGGAGGGGAGAGAGAGAGGGAAGGAGAGAGAATCCCAAGCAGGCTCCTCACTGTCAGCATACAGCCCAATGTGGGGCTTGATCCCACGAACCATGAGATCATAACCTGAGCCGAAATCAAGAGTCAGATGCTCACCTAACTGAGCCACCCAGGCACCCTGGCAATGACCTTTTAGATGAGCCCACATTCACTTTCAAGAGCCAGTGGATTTGATTTTGCCTCTGCTTTCTAAAATAATGTACATTCTATACCATAGAGAAGGGCAGGAAAAGGAAATTAGCTCAATAAATGCACTGATACACTAACCTTCTCACATAATTGCAGAATTAACTGATTCCTTTGTACTAAAATATATTTAACAGCCAACATTTACTGAGCACCTACTATGTGAAGGATCCACTGGTAAGTACTTTTAAGATAGAAAACAAGATAATTTTAAGTGATCTTTAGGTAAGAGTACTGCTGTAGGGGCTGGAAAATACATGGCTACATCCATCACATTTCTTTCATTTCCAAGATAAATCCTTGCAAAAAAGGAAAACAGAATCTTATTTCATTATCTCTAAGAAAAAAGAGATTAAGTAGAATCTGAAATTTATTTTTTTATATTACTTATTTTTTTGGGGGGGGGGGGAGAGAGAGAGCATGGAAGGGGAGGAGAGGCAGAGGGGGAGGGAGAGAATCTTAAGCAGGCTCCATGCTCAGCACAGAGTCTGACGCAGGACTCAATCCCCCAACCCTGGGATCATGACCAATGATGGAATCAAGAGTGAGACACTCAACTTAGTCGCCCAGGCACCCTAGAATCTGAAATTTAAACTCTTATGTTCACATCAGGACAGTAATTTATTCTTAATATTCCCAAAAGTTGTCATTATAGTCTTACCTTTTTATTTCAAACCCACAGCAAAATAAAAAACAGAAATTTGTTTAAAACATGTAACTAAAAGTTAAAAAAACCCAAAACCTAAAAACCTCTTACCTGAGCATGAAAATTGGACATAGTCGTTGTCTCTATATCCTTCTTTCCTAATATCTCCATTTTCACTGGTGAATTGGGAAAATTAAATGAAAAGTAGTCTAAAAAGTCAGGTAAATAAGTAGCTGCCCCATGAACAATACCCATTACATAGAAAGCTGCAGAGTTTTCATTTTCACTGAACACTAGACCCACAAACTCTTCTGCAAACCTCTCCATCTCCACAGGAGACAGGTGGGAGAGTTCATTACTGTAGGCGTGGATAACAGATGCGCCTCCATTAGGCTGGTGCTCAATATGAATGAGCTGTTTGAACTCCAACGTGTCCAACCTTTTGAGGTTATTCTGAACCCGTGGCTCCTTTAATGAGACAAATGGAAACTCACTGTTCTCTGGAATTTTGGAATCATAGTTCTTGGTATCCAAATTCTTTCCACTGTAATCCTTTACGTTATCATTTAGGATGCCTTTGGCTTCTTGATCTTCAACATCAGATAGCAATCCTGAGCAGATGGTTTGAATAGATTTGCTATACATTTTTGGACGCTTCCGTTTTTCATTCTCTTTGTGTTTCTTTTTCTTTTTCTTCTTTACTTTTTTAATTTGTAAGTCGTCTGCATTTGTTTTTGGTTTCTCCTTCCCACCTGTTGAGAAAAAAAAAATTTTTAACTCCATATTTTAGTTACTTAAAAATCATGCTTAAGGAACTATTGTACAATAAATAAGCAAAGTTTACTCAGATTTGAGTTTGTATCTGGGACTTGTTTTACACAATATTGATAAACATAATTTAGTCAATCTCCTTCCCTCTCTACACACACACACACACACACACACACACACACACACACACACACACACACGAAGGCCTACGACAAATTTGTACCTATCGCGCATGGTACCATTCTGACATGTAGCAGACGTTCAATCAGTGTTTACTGAAGTAATGAATGGATATTTTAGAAACCTTAATCTTCAAATTTAAATGTAAAAAATCAGAAATGGGAAGTTGAATAGAGATCAGTCAGATGTTTCCCACTGACACGTATCATCATTTTAATGCATCTAAGTTATTTAAAAATTGCATGTAGTCAAAAGACTTATAAATCACAAAGGGAGAGAACTACTTGCATTGTATGAGCAGCAACAAACACAGCAATTCCTTAGCTTTTTACCATATTTCCTCCTTACTATTCTTGCATCTAAAATGGACTATTTTAGAGGTCCACTAGATTTTGCAAAGTCCCCAATGAAGACCCAATAAGGCAGCATAAAGGAGATGACAAAATTAGAATAATTTCACATGTCCTATAAGCATAAATGATACCCATGTACTAGTAAAGAGATGAATAAAAAAGTAAAACATTTAGGGATTATAACCATATACATTAATAAGCTTCTGTAACTAAAGTCAGGTAGATTCTGAGTCCAGAAATTTAGAACTCCAAAAAATACAAGAGTAATGCACAGAGGCTATACAGCTATAGACTAAGTGTACATATAAATGTGTAATTTTATCACAATATATTTATTTCTGTACAGCAAGAAAAATAGGAGAAACCAAACATCTTCACAAGAAAGTATTATGCTGGGGCATCTGGGTGGCCCAATAGGTTAAGTGCCAGACTCTTTATATATGCTTAGGTCATGATCTCACAGTCCTGAGATTGAGCCCCGTGGCAGGCTCTACACTGAGCCCTCTCTCTCTGCCCCTCCCTCATTTGTGCTCTTTTCTTTCTCTCAAAAATAAATAAACTTAAAAAACATACTATGCTTCCTAAGATAGTATGAGAAAGCCATATGCTAAGAGTTAAGAAGAAAAAGCATTCACTGTTTCTACCTGTTATTTCACTTTTATAGACAACCTGTTATAAATTAAACCTTCCCAATCTGTTTCCTTACCTAAATTTTTCCATATGCACATATGGCTTTTATTCCTTTCTGTCTCCAGTGAGTGAGATGTCCTGCCTACTTTTCAAAAATAAGTCCCTCCCACCAACTCCAAAAACCCTTACAAAAATAGTTCCCTATCCTCTTCTTTTGATCAAACTTCTCAAAGCAACCATCTATGCTGAGGTCCTTCCATTTATTACCTTATTCTTATCCCTTAAATTCTAAGTCTGCTTCAGTCTACTCAAATTTACTTTCCCAGAATGTTCAAATACTAAATCCAATGATATTCTCTCAATTCATCCTTCCTGATCTCTCCAAGCTTTAACAGAATTATCCAGTTCATCCTTGATTTTTTGCTTCTTTGACATTACTTCCTTGCTAATTTTTAGTTTAAAAGCCTCATGACTGTCTTTCATCCTGAATGCTGGAGTCATATTAACCTTTCTATAAATTTTATATATTGTTGGCTATTTACCCTTTAAGTAAACTGCTTTGAAGGGTTCTCAATGCCTACCAAATAAAATACAACCTCCTCAATATGGAATCCAAAGACAATGCTCTCAGGACAACTGGACAGCTCAGTTGGTTAAGTGTACGACTCTTGGTTCTAGCTCAGCTCATGATCTCTCTCACAGTTTGTAAGATCAAGCCCTGTCTTGGGCTCTGTGCGTGAAGCCTGCTTGGGATTTTCTCTCTCCTTGTCTCTCTGCCCCTTCCCGGCTTGCTCGCAAGCATGTACTATGTCTCAAAATAAAAAACAAAAAACAAAAACAAAAAAAACAGACAATGCTCTCAAGTACTTCATTCTCTAGTCAATGTGTACTCCTTACAATTTCTTATAAAACACTTAGCCTGTGTTGTCTTTCTACTACTTGCAAAGACATCTCCTCTTCCAAAAATACCCTTGTCCTACCCAGCACATCTGACCTCTTTCTTACCATTCTTTAAAGACAACTCATGTCATTTTCTTCATTTTGCTTTCCCTCTCTAGTTGGAATCACTTCATTCTAAATTCATATAGGGGCACTTGGGTGGCTCAGGTTCCTGGCTCTCTCTGCCTGACTCTTGGTGTCAGTTCAGGTCATGATCTTTACGGCTCATGAGTTCAAGACCCACATCAGGCTCTGCACGGACAGCGTGGAGCCTGCTTGGGATTGTCTCTCTCTGCCCCTCCTCAGTTCTCTCTCTCCCTCAAAATAAATAAAAACTTTAAAATAAATAAATTCATATGGGGCGCCTGGGTGGCTCGGTTGAGCGGCCGACTTCGGCTCAGGTCACGATCTCACGGTCCGTGAGTTCGAGCCCCGCGTCGGGCTCTGTGCTGACCGCACGGAGCCTGGAGCCTGTTTCGGGTTCTGTGTCTCCCTCTCTCTCTCTCTGACCCTCCCCCGTTCATGCTCTGTCTGTCTCTGTCTCAAAAATAAATAAACGTTAAAAAAATAAATAAATAAATAAATAAATAAATTCATATAGTTATTTTTTTCACTCATAGGATACCTGTATATCACGTCCTTCCACATACTATATGAGCGAAACAAGTAACTTTTATATGAATTATAAGAGTTAAGTGATACTTTCCCCCCTAGCCAGGCATTGTATTCCTCATGACATTTAATACATTGCTACAGATGAACATTTAATAAATCCATAAATGAAGAGATTTCTTTCACCAATAAACTAACTGAGGTCTGTGGGTTTTTTCCTTGTCCCTCCTTCAGCCAAAGTTTTCCACAATATAAATACCACTAAATCCTAATCTTGGAAACAACAAACATAAAAATTCTCTTAATAGCAATTCTAAAAAAGGGAAATTTAATGTTAACTTGTAAAAATTCATTACTTCTAAAAATTTATAAATATACAATGAAGACCAAATTGGTATAATTATGTAAAGCAAAAATAAAAATCTTTCAACATTACTGATTACATAGGTTTGTAGAGCCATAAAATGCAAAGTGTTAATTCTCTAATGTCTACACGTAAATAAATGAATATATTAATAAACTCATACTTGCTACCTAGGAATGAACTATCAAAACATTAGATTTAAGTTAATATTTTAAGAACAAAATTAATAATGAAAAAAATTTAAACAGGGAGTTAATCAGCATGAAAAGATAAAATAGGTATATATATGTAAGCAAAATCCAAATGCATCAAGGAAAAAAAGCAGTGAATTAAAAAATTATAACTTAAGGGGAGTCTGCGTGGTTTCAGCCAGTAAGTGTTTGACTCCTGCTCTCAGCTCACGTCTTGATCTCAGGGTCCTGAGTTCGAGCCCTGAGTTGGGCTCCACATTGTGTGTGGAACCCACTTAAAAAAAACAAACAAACAAACAAACAAAAAAAACAGAACTTAGTATTATATGCTGAAGCGAGCTCCAAAAACAGAACTTAAAGTTTAAAAGGCCTAAGTACAGTAACTAAATGGAAAATATATATAAAGTTGCACAAATTAAATGGGCTGCCAAAATAAAGAATTTCATTTCAATGAAAATATAAGCTTCATATCCTATTACATTTATACCTAACACATGTTTAAAAAGTAAAATAGAGGGGCGCCTGGGTGGCGCAGTCGGTTGGCGTCCGACTTCAGCCAGGTCACCATCTCGCGGTCCATGAGTTCGAGCCCCGCGTCGGGCTCTGGGCTGATGGCTCAGAGCCTGGAGCCTGTTTCCGAATCTGTGTCTCCCTCTCTCTCTGCCCCTCCCCCGTTCATGCTCTGTCTCTCTCTGTCCCAAAAATAAATAAAAACGTTGAAAAAAAAAATTTTAAAAAGTAAAATAGAAAATATCCAGCCATTAGAATCACATGTTACTTTGAAATGAATTAGGCACAACAGTCTATTTTCTATTCACAAGGATGAATGAAAGTAGTAACAGTATTAAATGGTCAGAAACTGAAAAATGCAAAATAATAAGAAATCAGTTAAGAGAGTCTTATAATGAGCAACAAGGAATTAAATTCCCAAGACAAAGTACTCTGTAATTAAACACTAAAGCGAGCACAGTATGCAGAAGAGACTTAACATAACATGGCTGAGAATGCTGGTCTTAGAAAGGCCTGCTTACAGGGGTGACCTTGGGCTGGTATCTGAGAAACTGGTACTTTGGGAATGTCCCCACAATTCCTTGGTAAGAGTGGCTCACTGTATCTAAACTTTCCGTGCAAACAATATGGTTTATGTTGACACCTTTTTCCTTTTGGGAGCCTGGAATTGTACATGCTAGACAAAAGATGCCTATGTAACCAACCCCCAATAGAAACCTTCAGCATCGAGTCTTGAGTTTTCTGATAAACATTTCACATGTGTTTGTCACAATTCCTTGTTCAAAGAATTAAGCGCATCCTCTGTGATTCCACTTGGAGAGGACTCTTGGAAGCCTGTGCCTGATTTCCTCCAGACATTAATTACCCCATGTGCCTTTTCTCTCTACTGATTTTACTTTGTATCCTCCACTACGGTAAATCATAGCCATGAATACATCTATATGCTGAGTCCTACAAGTCCTCTCAGCAAATCATCAAACCTGGGGGTAGTGTTGGGGACCTCTGATGGACACAGGTAACATGCATTCTTTACAAACTGAGGCACTAGCATTCACTAGATGTATTTTTACATTCACTAGATAGATTTTTAAGGTTTTATATAATCTGTCACTCATTTCCTTTGTTAGAAAGACACGTGAAATGCAGTAGACATATAGGTAGACAATCATCGTAACACCTCTGTTCTTACAACTTTTCACAACATAAAAATGGCTGAAACATATAAGTATGCTCAGAAAAAGTAGGTGGTAGATGTTAAACATAAAAGGATAAGCTAAATCAGCTTATTTGTTCCTTTACACTATTTCTCATAAAGCAAATAATCCTATTTTGTCAGTGAAAAACATTTACAAGATTTATGCACTAATAAAAATTTTTTAGCATGTATATAATCATGTATTTATATACATAATCTAGTCATACTCAATCTCATGCAGTTTTTGATAAAAACCTGGAGGAAATGAGACTGGTGCAGAGTTAAGAGTTAGGATCTATTTTAGATGTCAAACACTGTCATTAAACAATCAATGCCTGTGTGTGCCATACTTTGTAACATTATCAGGAGAAAATAATACAGAGAGAAGAAACGTTGAAAGGAAAACAGGGCACAAAGGGCACACAGTAGTAAATACCAGCACACTGTCCCCACCAACAGATTCTGTTGTTGCTCCAGGACATCACCTCTCCCTGGTCATAGACTAGCAGGGCAAATTGTTTCCACTGGATAATAACAAAAGCTAACACTTACTTGGTGCTTACAATGGGACAGGCACTATTTCCAAAATAGATCATGTTTTATTCACTTAATTATCTATATTTTACCTAGGGAGGAGATAATTTTGTTGTTGTTTTTCAATCGCAAGAGTTAATCTTTCATACATGTTTACAAAAAAGATTCATATCCACTTAATGAATTATCTGTGGGCCAGACACCATGGTTGGCGCTTCCACCATACTTTACCTGATTTAATCTTCACAACCCTGTAAAGCAGTAATTACATTATTATTTACCTTCATTCTATAATTAAGTACATTTTCCCATGGTCATCTCAGAGGTCACTAAGATTCATTTCTAAAACTATCTCATTCTTCCCCTTTATCATTACTAGGTTTCAGTTTAGTTCAATTCAAAATTTTTCCTAAATTTTTCATGTACTTCAAAGTCAAGGTTACTATTGCATACTACTGAAAAATCTCCATTTTCTTAGGCTATTTTAAATTTTGTTTGCATATATAATCTCTAGATTCACATATTTCATATGAATGGTATGTAAGGAATCCAACATTCACCCAAGTGACAGGAATTTCCATCACTGTACATTCCATTGGATAAGAAAATGACTATCTGACTAAACCAGTAAAAAATGACTATTTGACTAAACCAGCAGGGTAAAGTTAAGTAAACACTTCAAGCATTAATCATTAGCACTAGAGTGGTCAGATTTGAGTCCCGCCTCAAAGGCTTGCAATCTAATTAGACAACACAGCTAACACACGCTGTCAAAAGAAATAGAATAAAAGGACCATGAACATTAACTAACCATCAACTTAAGCTCTGAACTGTTTCTTCCAAGGTCAAAAGAATTTTATTAAAAATGAAGTTCTGACAAGTAGAAAATAGCTCAAGAACATCTGGAAACATGACAAAGAATGAAATGAAAATACAGAATCTAATATTCTGTTTATCTTAAATAATATAAATTAACCAGTTACTTCATTACACATACAATGCTATAAGCTTTTCTTCCTAATGTATATAATGGTTTATTAACACATGAGTTCAACATCAAATTAATCAAAGTCAATGTATTCTGATCCGTAAATTCTCGACTTAACAGGGGCAGCAAATGAATTTGTTAGCTGTCTAGCAACCAAATTGCCATGGATTCTTCTTGCTATCTGACTGAATTTAAGACTTCTTACTTCTCTTCTACCACATATTTCCTGAAAGGGTTTAGATTTATTGATAGGATTAGTATTATTACTCAACCACCCAGCCCCATGTATAAACAGCAACTGAAAACAAACATTAACAGAGAAAAGGCAGGAAACAAAAACAGGATATTCTTTAGGTATGCAAGCAACACACAGTAAGAGTATACCTTCTAATTCAGCTCAGAGTAAATGATCCCTGTATGATACCAGACTTTGAGATGGTGATTACTGTCAAATATTTTTAAGATCACTTCTTCTACCACCCATCCCTCTTGTACTAAAATTGTTTTAGTCTTTAGATGATCTAAACATGGGTAAATACTAGTAATGCAAACACAGAATTAAATAACCTATATTTAAGGAAACTAATAGTTTGATGAAGCTCAACCTTTACTACTTCTTCATAAAGTATACTGAAGAAATATACTACTAACAACATTATGGATTAGAACTCCCTACTATTACAATAACTTTCCATATTCTAACCATTAAAGTTTGCTCTCAGCAAAATTTGGCAACAAACATTAAATCACTAAGTCTGAAAGTACAATGAGCAATATAATATAGTACAACTTACATCACTAAATATAAACTTACTTTTCAGCAAAATCTTTATTTCTCCATTTTCTTTCTTGATCTCATTCATTACTTTATGCTTCTTTTTCTCTCTCTCTTTATCTCTCTCTTTAATTTTGTCTTTGATTTTATCTGAAAGACAAAACAAAGGAAATATTTAAAATCATTTTGAAATAAATAAATAAAATCATTTTATAATTTTTCCCCATGAACCATAGTCCAATTTCTAGAGTTACAATATACCATGAAAAATCAGAATGAAAAACAATCATGGCTTTTGTTCTTCCTCTCAGGTTTGGGGGAAATAGATTTCCGAATTTCCTGTCATAAATTAACATGGAACACATAATATACACATCATATATTGTCAAAATTTATCATTATAAAGATTTGTAGAGATTCTAAAGAAAAATCTTCATTCTAAAGATTATTCTTCATTTAATTCATGTCAACCACAATATTAGACTACCTTCAAATCACTTAAAATAACTGCCTAATTGAGATAGTAAACTACAGTGGAAAAAGTGCTAGCTTTGAGGTTGGCTATATCTGAATTAATACCTTAACAATGAAAAAACAATCACAGTTTCTTAAACTATAAAATGGCGGTTATTATCTTTCTCACAGGTTACTGTAAGGATTAAATAAATCAATTTATAAAATGACTACCCACAGCCTGGTTTATATAAGACTAAATGGAGTTCCCCTACCTTTGCTTGCATCTTTTAAAAAGGATATGACTGATATGGCTAGCTGGTGATATTAGGATATTAAGATAAAAGGTATAGGGGCGCCTGGGTGGCTCGGTTGTTGAGCGTCCAACTTCAGCTCAGGTCTCGATCTTGTGGTTTGTGGGTTGGAGCCCCGCGTTGAGCTTTGGGCTGAGAGCTCAGAGCTGGAGACTGCTTCAGATTCTGTGTCTCCCTCTCTCTCAGTCCCTCCCCCACTCTATCTCCCTCTCTCAAAAATAAACATTAAAAAAAATTTTTTTTTAAATAAAAGGTGTAAGAACTCTAGGAATCATTGATCTGCATTCTAAAAATTTAAATTTGAGTTTGTAAGATTTATTGCCCTATTCTTGTTCAATCAAGCTCCAATGCCCCCAGCAAAAGAGAAGATCTAGAGAATTTTAAAATAGTGATGTAGTCTCTGTTCTCAAAATGCTTCCCATTGATTACAAAGTCATGATTGAAGCACATAAAATCTATAAAATATCTTCTAATGTAACAGAGATTATATAGTGTATATACACAGACTACAGAATTTTTTTTTTATTTTTTTTTTAACGTTTATTTATTTTTGAGACAGAGACAGAGCATGAACAGGGGACAGTCAGTGAGAGGGAGACACAGACTCTGAAACAGGCTCCAGGCTCTGAGCTGTCAGCACAGAGCCCGACACGGGGCTCGAACTCACGGACTGCAAGATCATGACCTGAGCTGAAGTCAGCCGCTTAACCGACTGAGCCACCCAGGCGCCCCCAGACTGCAGAATTTCTTAAAATCCCCCCTTACTGTCCTTTCCATAAATATTATTCTGAGGCCATAACCACCTTATGATTAGATTACCATCTATATCAGTACTGCCCAGTAGAAATATAATGCTTACCTGATATGTAAATTTGAGTTTTCTAGTAGTCACATTAGAAACAAAAACTAACAGGTGAAACTAATTTTAATAATACGTTTTATTTAGCTAATGAATCTAAAACATGGTCATTTCAAAATGAAACCAATATTAACCAATTACTGAGACATTTTACATTATTTTTTTTCCACAGTAAGACTTCGAAATCCAGTGTATATTTTATACTTAACGGCATATCTCAATTCAAAGTATTCAACAGCCACATGAGTGACACTAGTGACTACCACACTGAACAGCTCAGGTCTAGACTACTTAAACAGATAATTCTTAGAAAAATAAATTAATGCACTTAACAATTTAAAACTTACATTCATTAATAAAAAAAATTCAAATAGCATATTCTACCGATCAAACTTGACAAAGTGCTTTTGCAAAAATGATAATACTCAAAACAGAGGAGAGGACAGGTGATGGTAGAGCAAACGAAAACAGGGACTGACTTAACAAATATGCATTGCTGAGTATAAGAAAAGGGTTAGGGAAATACAAGTAAGTAAGGTCCTCATCTGTTCACATATAACTTAAATTCTAGAAATACATTAAGCTGTTCTCACACTTCAGATTAGTTTACTTTTTGATGCTTAAAGTCCTTGAGATCCTGTCATAGGCTGTCATCCAGCTATTAAGTGTTTACTCCAACTAGCTGGAGCTTAGACACATATATAAATTAATATTTCCTAAGTAAACATACATTTTTAATGAACTATTTATGCCTCATTTAAAAATCACAACTGAGGGGCGCCTGGGTGGCGCAGTCGGTTAAGCGTCCGACTTCAGCCAGGTCACGATCTCGCGGTCTGTGAGTTCGAGCCCCGCGTCGGGCTCTGGGCTGATGGCTCAGAGCCTGGAGCCTGTTTCTGATTCTGTGTCTCCCTCTCTCTCTGCTCCTCCCCCGTTCATGCTCTGTCTCTCTCTGTCCCAAAAATAAATAAAACGTTGAAAAAAAAAAAAATTAAAAATCACAACTGAAGAAAATAATCTGTCTCTGCATTTATTTTCCCAATCATCCCTGTTAGTTTATTAACCTAAAAGTGTTATTTCAATAACTATTGAACTTTTAAAGTTTATTAAAGTATAATATACACACAGAGAAAAACATGTAAGTATACAGCTCAATTTTCACAAAAATGAACAGCACCTCAAGGATCCCCGTCTTCCCTTCCAGTACCCCTAAGAGTAACCAAGATCCTAACTGCTAACCACACAGATGGAAATAACTACAGAATTTTAATGGCATATATGTATACAAAGACTATGATATAATATAAACTTACCACAGTCACAAAATATAAATATTTTTCAGAATAAAATTAAACTAGCTTCTCAGAAAATAAAATTATAATATGGTTATGACCCAATTTTTTAGTAAACTTTATTTATATACTTATAAATATATTTATTTATAGACAGTATAGACTTTAAGAGCAGTTTTAGGTTCTCAGCAAAACTGAACAGCAAGTATATACAGATTTTCCATATAGAACTGCTACCCCTATACATCCCAATTTTTAAAAAATTATAATGTACACACATTCAAAAGACTGAAAAATAATAGTTCAAATTATTAAAAGCTATTATTTTTGGTGGCACCTGGGTGGCTCAGTGGGTTGAGTGTCTGACTCTTGGGTTTCAGCTCAGCTCATGATCTCAAGGTTGGTAGGTTTGAGCCCCACTCCCTGCTCTGCGCTGACTGCCAGTGTGAAGCCTGCTTAGGATTCTCTCTGCCCCTCTCCCACTTGGGCTGTCTCTCTCCCTCTCTCAAAAATGAACAAACATTAAAAAATAAATAAAAAATAAAAAGGGTGGTAAAGGACTGAAGAAAAGCGATACAAACAGACCCATGATAAGAATTTGAACCCAGAAGCAAAAGGAATATAAGAATGGAGGAAAAGAGAAGGAATAAATGACTAAGCATTATCAAACTAGAACAAGCTGTAAATTACAAAGTTGAAAAATAAACATTTGCTAAAGACATATACCATATGTAAAAGTTAAGATATAAAAAATAAAATTGATTAAAATAATTTCAAATAACATAAATGGGATTTTCTTTTTTTTTTTTTTTTTAATTTTTTTTTTTTTTCAACGTTTATTTTTATTTTTGGGACAGAGAGACACAGAGCATGAACGGGGGAGGGGCAGAGAGAGAGGGAGACACAGAATCGGAAACAGGCTCCAGGCTCTGAGCCATCAGCCCAGAGCCCGACGCGGGGCTCGAACTCACGGACCGCGAGATCGTGACCTGGCTGAAGTCGGACGCTTAACCGACTGCGCCACCCAGGCGCCCCATGGGATTTTCAAACATATATTCAATTTATTGAATTACCAGTATATTTCAGATTTAATGCACCCAATATATTTCTATTGAGCACTTATGTGCAAGAGATAAAAAGAGTAATAGTGCTGTACTAAAGAATCTTACAATCAACGATATCAGTTGATATTGGTTGATTCTTACTGTTGGTACCACTATGGAAAACCAGTTAAAACAAACAAACAAACAAACAAACAAACAAACAAAGACTGGTTCTTAAATAATAAAATCATTGTTTTCATCTTGTTATAAAATTTACTAGTCTCCACCAGTATTACAGTCATTATAATAATATAGAATGAAAACGCACACACACATAAACAAATATTAGGTGAATCGGTCCAGTATAAAGAAAGTAGAACTTATAAAAAGCATTGTTAGAGAATCCTTTTGAGAGATTTCTAATACGCCAACAATCCATTTATCTGGAATCTTCAGAATAAATTCACAGTTCCTACATAACAAAAGACTGCCACTGTTTTTTAATCATTCTAATAATTTTCAAAAATGTATTATACTTCCCTGCTTTCAAAAATCTAAGAAATATATAGTCTTTTCATTATGACAAAAATTTAAACTCTCACTATCACACTCATATTGATGAACTCAAAAACAAATCAAAACAAAATTTACCTGTTCAAAACTAAAAAACAGTATTTGAGTATCATTTAATTTTTATTGTCTTAGCTGTCATTTATCATTCCACATACAAGAGGTGACAGCTATAACTTCTGGCAGTCACCAATAGGCTCATTCTCATCTGCTCTGTCCTAAGAAATTAGACCAGGTCCATCAATACTATACTGTATACAACAGTATGCAGGTTCTCTATCTCTAGCCCTATTAAAACAAGTTTCACACTGTATTCTTTCTAGTTATAAACTTACCTTTCTCCTTATAATCAATCCTCCCCCACCAGTATATAGTTTATCCTTGAGAGTAGAAAAGACTCTACCTCAATAAATGCTTGTTTGATACACAAAACAGGTCCTGTGATATAGTAAATTACTGTTATTTTCTGAAGCACATTGTGACTTTCCTTTTATGCGCTCTACGTTGATCTTTATTAATTCTTCCTTCTTTTCCTAGCCATACCACAGCAAGGAAGGGAATTCTTAGCCCTTAAAGCCATCCAGGAGTAGTTCCTCAAATTTATTTCCCCTTCTAACTA